ATAGTGAAAACATAGATCCAATTAGGGTTGTATGCACACATAGGATTGTTTGTATAAAACCTATCAGTGGTAACATGTAATAACATGTTGCGCGCACCTAGTAGTCTAAGCATTTGTCTAAAATCTCAAAAGTTTAAAAGAAATATTTTTCTCTCTTACAACTGTGTCTCACTATTTAATGTTTCTATCCATTTTACATTCTCACTCGTAAAAGCTTAAAAAATATTTCCTCTGTCATGTATTTATTGTCCACTTTTGAGTTTTGAATTCTTTATTCTTCAACTTTGACATTCAATATTTTTATTTGTGTTATATATTACTTGATGTAACTTATAAGAATGAAAAGATATTAAAACACAATTAATTCATATATTTTGCATCAAGTATTATAAATTAAAAACACAAATATTTATGGTCAAATTTGAAGAATAGAGACTTCAAAAGTCAAAAGTAGACAATAAATATGGAACAAAAAGTCAACCATGCATGTGTTTAGGTCCATTTAGTGAAAGTAGAATGCTAAATGTAGGGTCTGCGTTTCTTGGAACCATGTTCATGACTTTATGGATTAAGACGTTCTACAAGGCTTATATCCGAAGTTTGGACGTTTGGTTGCAAGTACTAAGCACTTAATGGAAAAAGTGCTTAATGGGCGCGTATGCTGCTGAGTCCTCGATCCAACACGCGATCTAGTACATCGGATGTACGTTTAGTACGCGCAGGCCTGGTCTTTGGGCTTTACGGTTTAGACCTTTTTTTAGGCTGTTAGGGGTTATAGGCCTTATTGGGCCATTAGACTTTCTGACTTTGGGCCATTGTTAGGCTTTGGGCCTTCCTGGATTTGGGCCCATAATGGGCTTTGGTCATCATTTAGGATTTTAGGCCATATTGGGCTTTTGTCATCATTTAGGATTTTGGGCCATATTGGGCTTTTGGAGCCATTGGATTAAGTCTCGGGTATTGGGCCAAGTAAGGAAGGGGTAAAATGGTCTTTTACCCTAGGAGTTGGACAAATGAAATAGATTCCTAGTTATGGTTTATGGCCTAATTATTAATTGTGGTTTTATTTGATTAATTAGCGCGGGGACTTTCCGGATCAATAATCTGAGCATTTATCTGATTTTCAGCAGTTTGAGGTGTGTCTTCTCACTGTGCTTGGCGGGTTGAAGGCACCAATACCGGCCCATGAATTATTATGAATAGGATGCTAGTTGTCTATGTGACTCTTATATATGTGTTGTATGTGATATGTATACCAAGCGGGGTCCGATGACAGGCGAGGCCTGATGGGTTTATTGTATGCTATTTATCTTAGTGATTCTTGTATGTGTTTGTGTCTGTATGAATGTCGAGCGGGGCCTGATGAATGTGATTAGGCGGGGCCCATCTCATGTTCTGACAAATCTGTTCCGAGCGGGGCTCGATGGTTGTCTGGCATGGCCCATCGTATGTTGATATGTATGGTATAGGGTGTTTTGGGGAACTCACTAAGCTTCGTGCTTATGGTTTTCAGTTTATGTTTCAGGTACTTCCGGATCGAAGGATAAGAGCTCGGGATGAGATGATTGATTGATATGCTCTGATTTACTTTTATGGTCTTATGAACACGTTTTGGATGATGGTTTTATTATTATTAAGATGAAAATTTGGTCTTAAATTTTGGAATGTTTCATTTGATACATACAAGAAAAAATTATTATATCTTCTATTATTCTATCCAAAGAAGTAACAAATTGTTTACTTTTAACGCGAAGTCATGTGTTTTTCGTATAGACCTCCGAGGAAGCAAACTATTTTCAATCGAAGACTATTTGTTTCATTCAGTTTAGCAAATCATTATCGAGTTGAAGAGTCTTCATGTCATTTGAATTCAAGTTATTATATCTAACTTGCATGTTCTTCTTAAAGAGTGTTCAAAGTCCAAAATCATTACTTTATTACTTATAGTACCATATTCGTTCCTTTATTTGTGCTATTTTAAGTTGTCCATCATATCTATATGGGTTTTAACCTAGTAAATTTATAGTAAATTTATAAGCAGATGACTACAAGTTGTACAAATATCTTCTATTTTAATTATTATTTTATCTAATTAAGGCCAGGTTAATAATGTGATTTTTTCTCTGAGGAATTAATATTTTTTTTTCAGGGGATTCGTTTATTCATTAGAAACAAATCAAGACAGATGGATACAAATTATAAAAATATAGTCTTCCCTTTGTCATATACGGGTCTTACTTTTCAGAATATAAGCAATACTTTGTAAGAAATCTGAGTTTTGAAAAGTAATATCTAATTATGGAACTAAATATTTTCTAAAAAATGTCCGTTGATTATATATAAAACAATGTCATCTCTCAGAAAGTTATGAGTTTTGAGAATTCATAACAATGGAGATTAAGGTGAGAGTCCCAAAGGGGTTTGTGTTAGAGAAAGCAGTTTGCAATCACGGTTTCTTTATGATGGCTCCAAACTGTTGGATGCCATCCACTAAAACCCTCGTCAGACCAATCCGGCTACCCGATCAACGTTCTGTTAGGGTCTCCATTTCCCAACCTTCTACCACTTTCCTCTCCATTACCGCACCTGATGAACCAAGCTTATATTCTAATTCCAGAGTTATAAAGGTGTGTATAGTAATTACGTGAACATGTACGTACATTGTTTAATTGGTTTAATTTATACATATCTGTTTCTGATTATATGAGTTTTTTAGGATCAAGTAAAGAGAATGCTTAGGCTTTCTAATGCAGACAAGGAGCAACTGAAGAAGTTTCATGGGCTACATACCGATGCTGCCAAGAAAGGGTTTGGTCGTCTTTTCCGTAACCCATCTCTATTCGAAGATCTTGTAAAGTCTTTGCTTCTCTGCAGAGCCTCGTATGTCCTTCCTAACTCCATACTTATAATATAAAAGTCCTAGAGCTAGCTAAGTCCACCTTTAGGAGCCTTTTAAAGTTGCAAACTCTAATTCTAATATTTTGTCAACATATAATATAATAGCGCTTTTTTTATTAATATATAATACAAAAATAATATATTCCAAAATTTATTAACATATCAGTATAATAATAATCTAATATCAGAGGAGAGAATTATTGTTTTATTTCAGGCCATACTTAACGCTTGGTAATATTCTTTTTCTTCCAATGGCATTTACTTTCGTTAATAATGTTATGTTTTTATATAGTTTTGTACTCCTTGTTATATACAAACTTAATATCATTTTCTTGGAGGTTTTTAATTTATTTTAATACTAGGTATTATGTTTATATAAAAATGTTTTATAAATTAAGGTGATTAAATTTTTTATTTTTTTTTGACCAAAACAGTTCCGTCCTTATGAACAGAAACTAAAAGGATTAAAGAAATCGTAATAAAATACTATGTCAAGGAAAAAAGCAAAGCTGATGTCTTTTAAACGAATTTATCTTTGTAGATTCAAAGAAAGTTTAGAACTGGCGGAAGGGCTTTGTGTTCTCCAAAAACGGCTGAACATTGAAAAAGGAGTAGTGGATCCGGCGAAAAGAGGTAGAAAGAAACAATCATTTTGTGTTGAAGAGTCATGGGGAAATTTCCCAAGCCCACAAGAACTCGCCATTTTTAAGAACGCAATATTGTTGAACAAGAAGTGCAACTTGGGATATCGAGCTCAATACGTACATGAATTAGCTAAGAATATCACAGATGGTAAAATCAGGCTCATGGATTTGGAGAAGTTATGTGATGGAAATGAATTGTACCAAAAGTTGATGCCCCTTCCAGGGTTCGGTGACTTTGTTTCTAACAATGCATTGATGTGCATGGGATTCTATGATGCTATTCCATGTGACTCTGAAACTGTAAGACTTATCAAACAGGTTCGTTTTATTGCTTCAACTGAGTAATAGTTGTATTATTCCAAGTACAAATAGAAATTAGGTTGCTATTTATTGTATTAATCCCAAACATTTCCATTTTCCATACGTTACATATAGCTAGCTTAGTGCCATTTAATATATCTATTTTCTAACTCATGATGAATATCAGGTCCACCAACGAGAAGATTGTGACAAGAAAAATATGAATGTAATGGCTATGGAGATATATGACAGATATGCGCCATTTCAGACACTCGCCTACTGGTACCATTCTTCAAAGTATATGTTTTTGTGTGTTTAATTTGTTTTTCTAGCTTGTAGATTTATGCCAGAGATGCGCTTGATGTAAACTAGGTCGGAGCTTGTGGACTACTATGAAAATAAAGTTGGGAAGCTGAACGAATTGGATAGATGTCTTTATAAAAACGTTGGTGGAAGCGCAATTGAGAAAACTTACATAAGTAATTAATGACACACACTTGGATTAGAATCAATGTAGATTTAGTCTTTGGTTCTGTCTTCTGTGATTCACTTTTTTGGTAGAAAGCAACTATAAATTCTACAAGAAGAAATTAAACACCAACTAATGTTTAAGTTAAAGAAGCAACTGAACTTTTGTTTTCTCATCTATGCATTTTATTGTTAGTGAATTATAATTATTCATATGATTTATTGCATGTACGTCATGTTACTATATAGGGCCCTGAGTAGAAGATGTCTGGTCAACCAATTGTGTCATTGATACTTCACTTGAATATATACATCATATGATCTACAGTACCAAGACAAACATAAGGGCAATTTACACCAATAACCCAAGTTTTCATGCCATTTGAGATAAAAAGATCTCTATTTGTAAAACAATAAATTCAATGGGCCCAACTTTTATGATGAGAAAATACATGGTTTATGTTTCTGAAAAAGAACCGAGTGAAATGAAAGATGAATGGAAAGAGTATCATCCTGAAGAGATAGGGTGTACTAAGTGACGGGTACTAGCTGTAGTTTCTTGTTTGACAAACAATACATTAATTCAGAAAACAATAAAGGCTTACAGATCCAAGAAACCTTAGTTTGTATCAAGAAGCATGCTTCTGTCTTTGTTTTTGTTTACATCTGTTCATAGGTTCATTTATTTCCATGGTTTAGAATTATATACACATCTAATTACAATTGTAAAATGAAGAGTATAGTTTCTACCTTTTTAATTTTTGCCACATAATTTTTTGTCTTTTTGATTTATTTCCATGGTTTACAATTATATAAAGACAAAATTGCAAAAATGGTCCATATGGTATGTATTTTTTTTGGGGTTTCAGTCTAAACCTCGACTCTTTTGGATTCATGATCCTTTTGGCCTAGTTTGTACGTAGAATTGTTCCCCCGACTTAACTTCCGTTAAGTTATTGTTGTTAACCCCCTCACACTACTAGAAAACTAGAAGGTTAGCTACAAGTTATTGTGTTGGTATTTAGTAGGAAACAGGGTTTACCGACACATTTCCAACAAAACTGGTTTGTTAGAAAAAAGGCCGTGGGAAACAGGTTTCCAACAAAATTCCAACGAAAATGTCTAACAAATTTCCGACGGAATACTTCCTAGGAAATTTCTAACAAAGTTTTCTGACACAATGTTTCCAACAGAATACCAACATATCACATTTCCAACCTATTTCCAACGAAACATTTCCAACATATTTCCAATAGAATATTCTATTTAATTTTAAAATAATAATAATAATAATAACAATCCAGGTTTTTTCTTGTACAAAATGCAGAAAAAAAACAACCCAATACATTAGATTTGCAATAATACATATTCAATATATTAACATATAAGAATACAAACCCAATACATTACATTATATTAATACAAATCCAATACATTAACCAATAAAAATACAAATCTATTACATTTACATATTCTAAATAAAATCCAATATGTTTACCTATTAAAAAAAATCAATAGCCCTTTCATTTACCCTTGACTGCAATTTCACCAAGAATTGATAACATAACACTCACTCTGTATCCACTCATGACAGATGTGGGTGAGTCTTGTTTTTGACAACATAATTTACTCTCTAAAAATTATCAAAACAATAGATTAATAAGCATTTTACATTAGGATTAAAATACATTTGCCAAAACAAAGTGGTATGAAATAGGGAACAATACCGTGAGTAACTATATAGTAGTACATCTCCTGTTTCTCTATCTTCAAGCTCAGCCAATTTAACAAGAACCTATATAATTCATCATATTTAATTAAACAAAAGTAATAAGTAGCTATATAGCAATTGAAAATAAAGTAAATGATATAATTTTACATGCCTCACATTGGAAGCAGGATGATCAACATCTAACATCTTGAGAATTATAGCACCATCATTTGTAATTGTTATACCTATGGAAACTGATTTCAATGGGAAATAAAATACTAAAATTAGAAGTAATAAGTAATCCTTGTATTGTAAGAAATAGATAAGTAAATTGATATCCAAACATGATGGAAAGATAATTAAAACAGTCTCTATATATCAATTTTTACCTTCATTTTTTGCTTCCAAGCCAGCCCCTTCAATAAAATAATCTCAACATATCTTTAAACATCTCCACTTGTTTATGTTTATCATTCAGTTCTTGTGAAAACTGCATTATCATGGTAAATAACTACTAAATCATCAAAATTAAATTAGGGGAAAGTAATGAAGTAGTCAACAAATCAAACTACTTACTTGCTATGCAGTCTTTTAGAAGCATTCAAGATCTTTTGAGTTTGGAAAACTCATATACACTTCCAGTTAATATTATCATCAATCCAACATGAGATAACATAAACTTTGTACATCTTCATGGGCAATATATATTTCCTTAACCTGTATGGGAAAAAATAAAAACAGATTCCAGTTACAAGGATGCAAACAGAAGTGAAGAGAAAAGAAAAATGTGGGAACTTGCTAAATTTTAATTTGGAAGTTATGATATCCCATTCTAAACTTTTTATTGCATCCACAAGAATGATCATGGGTGTGGATGTTTTCTCCAATCCACACCGATTTTAAGATCGACACCGAAGGAAGATTTACCAACTACACACAAATGAAATCACAAACTCACAGACAAAATACAGGAATCTGAATACAAATCTGAAATCACAGAAAAATTACAAGAGAGAATCAAGGTCACAGTGATTGTATCACTTGAGGGGAGAGACCGGTGATAAGGAGAAATATCCTCCTCAATCTTCCCCTGTATAAAAGTGATTCTGCATATATTCAATATTGATATAATTGCTTGTGTATATCTGTTTGTTATTTAGTTTCCTAAGTTTAGTGGAATCTCCTTAATTGCAAATATCCTCTGTAATATGTGTGTAATATACGTTGGGATGTTTTTGGCTACTTAAAGTCATCTCCCCGGTTAATGAAATAAATCATCTTACTCTCAACCCTTTCATGGTATCAGAGATTTATTGATCCTCCTCTATACTCTCAAACACTTTTCATCAACCATGACCAACAACAATGATGCTACCATTCCCAACAGCAATGAACCTACAAAACCCTTCACCATAATCAACTTCAACAACACAATCAAGCTCACTCCAAGCAATTACATTCCATGGAAATCTCAAATTCAAGCAACCCTAATTGGATACGATCTATACAAATTTGTAGATGGTACTCATCCACCACCCTCCCCTAAAATCACAACCATTTCTACTACAACTGAAAACCCAGCCACTGTTGTACCTCTTGTATCCCACTCCTCAACTTCTGCTGAAATTTGGCGCATCCTTGCATCAACATATGCCAACCCATCTCGTGGTCATCTCTTACAAATCAAAAACAATCTCAATCGACTCACAAAACTCTCCACCCAAAGTATCACTAAGTACATGCAATCCATCAAAACCCTCACCGGCCAATTCTCTATCATGAGGAAACCCATGGACCATGAAGACATTATCACCAAAGTTTTGAGAGGTCTGGACTATAAAGCATACAGACCGGTCATTGATGCTACTAATGGGCGAGATACAACCATCTCCTTTGAAGAACTCCATGAAAAACTCATCACACATGAACTTACCCTTAACCAAAACAACATCACTCCTTACCCCGCTTCTGTCCATCCTGCCTACAAAACCCACAATCCACGCAATCATAACTAGCTCCACACACCATATACACCTGGACTGTTGGATTAATGTCTAAGTCCATAACTATATTTGGTATGTACTTGACCCGACCCGGCATGGTCC